AGAGGGTCGAAAAGATGCTCTAGAGGAGCGTCTACCATTGAGGAGGCCTTTCGGATTGTTGAAGAGGAGCGGCGTCCTCTGTGCACCGAATATCTCCTTTGGGCCGACAGGGTAAAGATCGACCAATAAAATGGCCTATCATTTAACTGTGCCAACCGTAAGCCATAAGATCATCTAAGCAACAGACCCACCGTGGAAGATTCAGTGAGACTTTTTTTTAACCTTTATTTTCTTTTTTTTCCTGTGAAAAGTTTGTATTATTATTATTCATTTCCCTTTTTGTTGAAGTGGCGTTTTAAATGGGGAAAGAAAAGCCTAAGAAAAAGTTTAAATCTATTTTTGTTTTGAGGGCTGATTTTATTTTTGGCTATTTGGGAGCTGCAAGGAAATTTCTTATTGAGACTTAACATGCTATGTACTTGGAGAATATTGTTTGTTTTTATTTTTTTATGGTGTCCAAAAAGACTGAATAGTTAATTAATTTTGATAACTCTTTGGGGGACATTTTGTGTTGAAATTACATATTACTTTTGCTATTTTCTTCTCTTGCAATTTGTACAAAGGAAAGAGACTAAGGAACTTGGGAGAAGATGGATATTGATTGATTGCTGGTAAATATAATCTCCCCCCAAAAAGATAATGTCCTCAAATATAATAAAAATGAAGGAAACGTGTTCAGATTCTATTTATAAGTATATTTTGGACAAAATCTGGGAAAACACGGAGATGATAATTGCCTGCAGTAAGGAGATCTCTCTGCATTGACAAAGCAAAGCACAAGGTTTAAGTGAAACAGCAGTTTATATCCAAGAGACTTGTTTTCAGTCCACTGAGATGGAAGAAGCAAATGTACAGTTGGATTATCAATTGATATTGGAAAGAAGTGTTGATATTAATGGACAAATGATCTATAATAAGGAAATGGAGGAGCTTACTTCAGAAGGACAAGCTGATTTGCAGACACCATTTGATTTTCCAATAGAGGAAAAACTATTGGAAGAAGAGCAAATTTGATTAAAGAGTACTATATTAAAAAATGATTTCAATTAAAGTTTATACAACTTTAAAAAAGATAGGAAATGATGTTCTGTCACGAGTTATTCAGAATAGCTGTAATTCTTAAATCAGCCTAATAAAACGGACAATGGGAGACTTGTTGCTGTGTACAGTGTGGCAGGAAAGAATGGGAGAGCTATCTGCGGAACTAGAGACTCGACTATGGAAACCTATTTGGAATAAGAAGAAACCCAGAATAAGATATAAATATTAAATTTGAGATGATAATTATGGATGATAAAGGTTTTATAGCGACTTGGATTGTTTTGGATTTGGATTTTGTTAAAAAGAGAGGCTATTATGAAATGAATTAGAATTTAATACTGAAATGTAGCAAGAACATGTTTCTTTTCTCTCTTCTTTTTCTTTCTTCTTTGCTCTTTATTCTTTGTTCCTTGTTATTTTAATTTTTTTTTTTTCTCGAATGATATGGAATTAATTGGAGAATTATTGAAAAAGAATAGATTTAAATAAGAGAAACATGGGGTATCTGAATAGTAAATATATAGGTTAGTTTAAATTTTAACATTTGAAAAATTAATAAAGTGTAAAACAGGATTCTTGGGATAGATAATGAGCTCTGCTAAACATTTATTGATTTATGAAATTCATATATAGCAGTATAAATGAAAATTTGTTTTAGAAATGTATTAATGAGATTATAATATATTTTAAATAAATGGAGTTTCAGTTTAAATTTAAATATGTGAGAAATTATAGATTTGTATGGAATAGACACTGAGCGGTTGAAAGTTTTGATTGATTAAGAGAATTTATATTTAGAAATATTAATGAATGATTTTATTTGAACCAATTTGATTATAATATTACAGATAGATAGAGAGGGAAAGTTTAAGAAATATTGTGTGAACTGTATATTTATAATGCTATTGTTTTCTTTTTGTAATTGATCACCATATCCCCAAGTTGGCTCTTAAGCTTCTGTTGGTGTAAAATGGAAAACCAATAAAAATTGTTTGGAAAAAAAAGAAGAAAACTAAATAGATGCTGACACCTAGTGGTGGATGAAGATTATGACAGCTATGATTTCCATAGAGAAATTATAATGTATAAAAAAGAAAAAATGTTTTGAATAATAATTAAAGGATTAGATCACTAGACACATTAAATGGAATATTTAAAGATTAAATAGATTTTTAATCATGGTTAAAAAGAATGAGAAATTTTGGGAATGAATATAAGCTTAGGAGGAATATATATTTTAAGTAGTATTTTACTTTTTATGTTTCTTTACTCTTGCTCTCTTTTTCTTTTCTCTACTGTTTTACCTATTCTTTAAGAAATGTAAAAGTGTTGAGATGGTTTATATGGGAAAAATGGATTTAAATCTTTAAATGTATTAACAGTTGAGAAAATCTTAACCAGCAAGAATACTTTGAACTTTATGGGAGAAACAAATCTAAATAAGGACTGTAACAGGGTATAAGATGAGGCAACCAGAATGATTAGATAGAAAAGAAATATTAGATTGATGTGATCATTATTTCTAGGAGCATTGGGGAAAAATCATATATGTAACTGTTATTTATCAAAATAATAAGAACTGTATTATTTCAAGGTTTGCAGAGAAGACATTTTGGGGAAAGGGGAAAATCAACTAAATGTACTATGTGGATTATGGATTATAGAAACCAATTGTTAATTATTTTTCTTTACAAATGTAAACCCAGCAAACACTGTTTATCAACTATTAAGTGATTTATGTTTTAAAAAATCAATAAAATATATGGAAAAAATGTATAATTTTCTATTAACTTTGAAAATGGAAAGTGAACAAGTTAAAGAAACAATGATAAGATGGTGAAAAATTTTGGATATAATATAGAATTAGAAAAATGGCAAAATTTATGGGAAAGAAATTACAAACTGACAATGTTAACTTCCTACAAACAAAATTATATAAAATGTTCTATAGATGGCACTTGCCACCAGCAAGACTAGCAAAAATGTTTAAAAACATGTTAGATAGATGTTGGAAATGTAAACATAAATCAGGCACTTATTACCATGTTTGGTGGACATATGACAAAGTAAAGAGTTATTGGAAAAAGATACATACCTGGCTAGAAAAGATGTTGGGAGAATATATAGATTTTAAACCTAAACTTTTTTTATTAGGTATAATGCCAGAAAAGGCTAACAAAGCTTATATTTGATTTTGCATGTCACAACAGCAGCAAGAATTATATTTGCGCAATACTGGAAAAATGAAGGAATACCATCAGATGAAGAAATAATTAAAAAAAAATACTAGAATGCGCAGAGACGGATAGACTGACTATGAGACTGAAAGAAAAAGAAACGGAATATTACCAAACTTGGGACTTATTTTATCGATGGCTAGAGGAAAGAATAAAGAATTAGGAATTAAATATGTATTAGTGAATGTAAACTCAGCATATTGGTTGAAAAATTATTACTGAATATATGGGGGGGGGGATCAATAAAAACTCTTACAAAAAGAAAGAAAGTGAGGAGGAAGATGCAGGACTTGGTGAGGAGAGAATCAGGCCTAAAGTCTGTGGGGATCAGGGAGGACAGCAAAAGGATGTGGGGGGGATTCAGTGGGGAATGGAAAAGCTTGTGAGGACTGGTGGGTGAGGGAAAGGCCTGCAGGCCAAGGGAAAAGAAGTGGAGCACAGGTGTCTTGGGTTGGTGGGGGAGGCCTTGGGAGTCCTAGGACAGGTGGGCCCTGGGCCTGTGCTAGGCCTTCAAGGGTCTTCCCCACCCTGAAGGCACCCTGTGTTTTGCTTAATGAACCATGCATTCATTTAACAGTCACATTAGGGAGAACGGGATGGAAGTCATTAAGTGAAGCCGTCTCACTTAATGGCAGTCATGACTTGTGACCATAATGGACAGGTTCCATTACGAACATATCTGGAGGACTACCTGTAATGATTCCACATTCAGGCCCATCCTGTACCAGGGATGTGAATACATGGTTACGTATTGCCTATTACTTGCCAATGATCACGTGCCTTTATTTGTTTGTTAGATTTGTTTGCTGCCCATCTCACTTCAAGGCAACTCTGGGCAGCTTACAAACATTAAAAGCCAATAAAACCATAAATAAATAATTGCTAATAACAAAACAGTAAAGTGTAATAGAAAAAGATGGTGATGAAGGGAACAGGATGCACACTGAATAGACGGGGAGATGGGAGCCTTTGTTTTCCAAGTGTATATAAACTATGCTAATTTGTTATTGAGTGCTCCCAGTTTGTGATTTAAGCCCCAAAGCCCCTACTTCTTTATGCTGTACAGATTAAACAGGCTGCAATTTTCTGTTTTGTGTGACAAATTGGCTATTTCATACCAGGGAAAAACAAATCCAGCATTTGGCTTTGCCAGTTCAAGATTTGGTCAACAAATGGAATGAAAGGATTGAAGACCCTAGGATTATGTTTTAATGTACTATCATTAAAAATTGTCTTAACTTCCACAGCACACTAATTTGTAGAGTAGTTAGGGCATTTTAAATTACAAACAAGGCTCCATACAACACACTAATCCATAAACTGGTTACAAGCCACAAAATACGGCTCATACATATTTTGACTTGGGCATAGCTTAGTGTGTAATTCATTCATTGTTTTCATTAGGAAAACAATACAAAGCAATGCAAATGAAACTTTCAACAATTCGCGTTTAAACACAATATACATGGTAAAAGTAGGTCATATTGCTTTCAAGAACAAGAGAATCCACTCATCATACTGTTAGCATTGTTGTTTAACAAATACAGAATTTTTTTTAACAGAAAAATAATGCTGAATCTTCTATAATTATTTTACTGAAACAACACAGCAAGATTAGAAGAAATAAAAACTGATCTTACATCTGGGTGGGCTAATAGAGCAACTTTCAGTTTCCTTTTCTAGGAACAAGAAAATGAAACTGCTCCTTTCCCTTTGTGACAAGTTAAAAGCGGATAGCAACAAAGGAATACAGCATTTCAGACCAATAATCGGGAAGAAAAATCCATTATTTTCAGAGAAGCAAGCTTTCTTAAAAACTTCTAAACAGGCAATATGAGGTAAGTTAACAAAAAATAACAGGATATTATATCCTCAATTATTTTACTTATAAAGTATTTAGCATTAAAAAGGTATTTTTCATCATGCAACGTTTCAGCTTCTGTTTAGAGGGTTAGGGGGTTTTTTGAATGAAGCATACAGTCTGTTCTATAAATCTATAATGCTGTAGAGAACTTAAAACAGTTATCCAGAGTATAAATCAACTGCAATGAATCCAATGAAATCTGTATCATTAAGTCTTAGGGCCAAATATAAATGACAGCTTCTGTGAGCACAGGGAGGAATATTTGAACAGTTATTAGGAAAATGGGTTTTTTAGACAAGATCTCGAAACAGATTAAATGAAAAAGATAATACTCTTCAGGTAGTCCTAAACTTATAATTCATTTAACAATGGCTCAAAATTATAACAGCCTTAGAAAAAAGTAATAACCTTTACTCCCATTTATAACTCTCAGAAATGTCACATCACTCCACTCCCATGAACATCTGATTGCAGTTTGGGAGTTTGGCAACCAGCTCACTTTTACTACAGGTTGCAATATTCTACAGTCACATGATCACAATTCACAACATTTTTTACCAATTCCCAGCAAAAATGCCGATTGAGGAACCCAAAATTGTTTAACAACCTTCATGTCTCACTTATACCTGTTGTAAAATTAATGATGTCTCAACTTACAACTGCAACAACTTCAGGGAAAATTCTTGTCCCAATTCTCATAAGTTGAGAACTATCTGTATTATTGAAGGGTAGCTCAGCTACCTTTACTTTGGAGAGAAAGAAAATATGTATTTGCATGACATCATTACCCACACTTAACTGAATCATGATTTATTAATAAAGCAGTTTTCTACATTTATATGAGAAGCAGAACAAAGTTCTCACAACATATTGGGTTCACTTGTTCAGTGTGTTGTATAATCACTTTTCATTTTGTTAAACTACTTAACCCTTAATGAAAAGAGCTGGGATGTTAACTGTTAACAGAAAAGGATTGTAAACAGGATAGGCAACTCTCAAAACTTCGGGAGGTTTTCTTTCTTCTTTCTTGACCACTTGGAGCCTTTCACACCGCTAGGAGTGTCTGCAAGATATGGTCAAAAATGTCGAGGTACAATCAAAATTCTACCTCTCTGTTTGTGTGCAACAAAAATGGGAAGCTTCAATCATACTATAGCAACTTGACCATACCTCATGGACACCCCTGCTCCTTGCCAAGTTGAAATATCCCTCCCACAAACATACACCTTGAGTTGGCAGAAAGCTCAAGTAGGGTGAAAGTTGCTGCCACCTTGTCAATTCTTATGTTGTCATAGTTAGCACTCAAGGTAAATGTCAATCCAAGTCCTCAGTCGTCCGGAAATGAAAGCCAGGAATGCAGGAACTCAGTGCACGTTAGGAAGTTTTATTCACTGCCTAACTAACAAAGTCAGCACTGGGAATAGCTTGTTCCCAACGCTCTTTATAATATGCCCACGCCCACATCCCTACCCTCTGCCCACAAACCACGATCCGCTTGATTACTTTTATAACCCCACCCTTGTGCTCTAATTCCTCTTCCTGTGCAGCCCCGCCCCCCTTACTCCAGTGTCCGACCGTCTGCTGCCGCCCCACATCTGCTTCTTTCAGCCTCGATGGTAAGTTTGTTTGCTCAGCCGCTGGCCAGTCCCTGTCAGTCTGTTGGTTGGTAGAGTGTGCATTCCCTCCACCTATGGCCACTCTGGTGACCGGGCTGAGGGTGTGTTTAACGCTGAGACCCGTGTCTCCCGTAGCATTTGGGAAAATGCAGTACCCATGCGGCGCCGCCAGCCAGTTTTCGCCTGTCAACTGACCGGCGGGGTGCCCCGTGCCAGCCCCTGCAATCTCCGTGGCGCTGGGGAAAGGCCGAACATCACATGATGCTGTCAGCCGATCTCCGCCACCCAGCTGGCCGGCGGGATGCTTCGTGGCGGCCGCGGTGTCTCCCGCGGCATCCAGGGAGGGCCGGTGGTCACATGAGGCTGCCAGCCGGTTTCCCCCTCTCAGCTGGCTGGCGGGAAGCTGAATGCTGGGCCCGGTGTCTTCTGCGGCCGCGGCGGCGGCCGCGGCATCCAGGGAGGGCCGGTGGTCATGTGAGGCTGCCGGCCGGTTTCCTCTTCTCGGCTGGCCGGTGGGGAGCTGAATGCCGGGCCCGGTGTCCTCTGCGGCTGAGGCGGTAAGTAGGGCAATGTCGGGCGCGGCGCGGCGACGGTGCATGTTGGTGGGGGTGGGATTGTTTGTCCGCTACCCCCCCCACCGAATGGCAAGCCCCGTGGGGCTTGACATGCGGCCTCCCCTACCACGTCTTCACCTGTAAGAGAATGACAAGACAGTGAGTTCCCCTGGTTGTGTTGTGCCTGGCCTGTTTTCTCCGGCCAGCGCTGATGGAATGCCCGTAGTAGTCGAGGGGCATGAACGTCTCCCGCCCTCACCCAGGAAGCATCTGACAGGGGATATCCCTTCCATTGGATGAGGTACTGCAACTGGCTATGTCTCATCCAGGAGTTGAGCACTCCTTGTACCTTGTATTTGGCCCCGGTGACTGGCCCAGGACCCTTAGCTCCCATGGGAGGCCCACGTACCAATTTTAATAAACTACCGTGGAACACTAGAAATGGTGGTAATCGCAGTCGCACCGTGACTGGATTGAGTACTCTTATTACTTGGAATGGACCTATATATTTTGGGCCTAATTTCTTGTTAGGTACTGGTAGCCTGAGATACTTCGTTGACAGGTATACCCAATCTCCGATTTTGAAAGGTGGGTGGTCGGCTCTTTTCATATCGGCTTGGCTTTTGGCAGCTGCCTCGGCCTGTCGTAGGGCTTCCTTCACTACTCCCCAAAGTCCCATTACCTGTGTTATCCATGCTTGGGGTGTGTATACATTACCAGTCTCTTCGGACCACTCTGGAAATAGTACAAACTCTACCCCGTTCACCACCCGAAAAGGAGCGAACCCGGTACTGCTATGTATGGTGTTATTGTACGCCACCTCAGCGAATGGTAGTAAGTCCACCCAGTCTGTTTGCTGAAAGGTGACGTAACTACGTAAGTATCGTTCAATCATAGCGTTTGCTCTTTCCGCGGCACCATTGGTAGACGGGTGGTAAGCCAAGCTGAGGCCCTGGGACGACCCGACTAACTTCAGGAACATTCGCCAGAATTGAGCTGTGAATTGCACCCCTCTATCCGAAATTATACGTCGTGGCACGTCGTGTAGTCAGTAGACATGTTGTATAAACATTCTGGCTAACCGCTGCGCCGACGGCAATCCTTTACACGGGATGAAATGGGCTTGTTTTGAGAAGAGATGGATTATGGTCCATATTACCATGTAATTGCGGCTTGAGGGTAATTCAACAACAAAGTCCATCGCGATCTCTTCCCAGGGTTGTCGTGGATCTGCTACCTTTTGTAGGAGGCCCATCGGTTTTCCCACTTGGGGTTTCGCAGTAGCACAGACGTGGCAGGTTTTGACATAAGTTTCTATGTCTGGCTTCATGCGGGGCCACCAGAATTGTCATCGGACGTGGTGCAGGGTCTTTAGGAAGCCGAAATGGCCTGCCTGCTTGGCGTTGTGGCATCTCTTAAGGACGGTTAGGCGTAACTCCTCAGGAACATAAAGTTTGTCGCCTTTCCATGCCAGCCCATCCCTTTGGGTTAATAGTCCCGGATGTTCTTTTAACCACTTGTCGTTTATTACAGCCCCCCGCAACTCTGGCAGCGTAATAGTGGTTGTTTGTGGTGTTGTTATGCCGGCTATCCTGTGAGTACAGGAAGGTATAATTGCCTGTACCACCTCCTCTCTATCGCTATGATATTGAGGGAGGTGAGACAATGCGTCCGCAAGGAAATTCTTACCTCCTGGTACATATTTCAGAGTAAACTGGAATCGAGTAAAATATTGGGCCCATCGGACATGTTTCGGTGATAAGCGCCGTGGCTTTTGTAGTGCTTCTAGGTTCCGGTGGTCAGTCCACACATCAAATGGTCGAGGGGAGCCTTCCAGCAAATGCCGCCAGGTCATCAATGCCCATTTGACGGCGAATGCTTCTTTTTCCCAAATGGCCACCCGCGCTCTGTTGTAGTAAATTTGCGGGGCGTATATGCACACGGCTGTAGTAACCCATTGGTTTGGTTGTAGTAGGACAGCCCCCACAGCCACGTCGCTCGCATCAGCCCGGACAACAAACGGAGCATCGGGATTTGGATGGAGCAATATCGGCTCTTTGGCGAACAGTGTTTTGAGCTCCTCAAACACCTTTTGACAGGCCATGGTCCATCCTACCAGCTGGCCGGGTCGTGGCTTACCTTTTAGATGTTTTGTCTTTAGGAGTTCCATTAGAGGGTGAGCCACGCCAGCAAACGATGGAATGAATTGCTGGTAGAAATTGGCGAACCCCAGAAAACTTTGCAACTGTCTTTGTGTGGTAGGGGCCTGCCAGTCAAGAACCGCTTTAACCTTAAGTGGATCCATTTCCACTCCTGTCGTCGATATGCGATAGCCCAGATAATCCAACCGCGTAGGGTGGAACTCGCATTTGGACAGCTTAACATATAACCTCGCCTCCAATAATTTTTTCAATACCTGTCATACCAGAGCAACATGCTCCTCCATGGTTGTGGTATAAATCAGAATGTCGTCAAGGTAGACGAGGACCCCCCGATAAAGGTGCTCGTGCAGTACTTGGTTTATTAACTGCATAAAGACTGCGGGGGCCCCTGCAGCCCAAATGGCATAACGTGGTACTGAAAGCTCCCTAAAGGGCAATTGAACGCCGTCTTCCATTCGTCCCCCCGTCATATTCGTACTCGATAGTACGCTCTCGAAGGTCTAACTTGCTAAATATCCTCCCTTTCCCTAATTGGGCTAACAGGTCTTTCATAAGTGGGAGTGGGTACAGATGTTCCACGCAGACAGCATTCAGACCCCGGAAGTCGATGTAAAGACGTAGCAATCCGTCTTTTTTTTCTCG